CACTGGAATTTAGAAACGAATTTTATCTACATGCCATTTTAGGATTTTGGTACATGCATTAAGGATTGTGTACAAATTGTTCATAATGTCTCTGTACTGATCTCAAAACAACCAATAAAATGCCAGTTACAAAAGAGTTTAAGTGCATGATTAAGTTAAAGCTGAAATTTTATTTAGAATTTCCACATTTGGTTTTCTAGATTTTGAGGATTTTTTTTTCTTTTTAGGTTAAATGAGTGAATCAAAGACCTAAATAAAAACCCTGCAACCAGGAGGACCATTAAAGAAAAAAATAGGTACAAACTTTTTTTTAACAGTCTCATTGGATATGGAGAGAAAATGTTTTGAGAAACGATGTACAAATGCGCTTTACACAATTGATGTGTGTATGGAGTGGGATAACAGTTGTATGAGCCCCTAATAAAATGTAAAAAAAAACAAAAACAAAAAAAACAGTCTCATTGGCGTATAATTCACATACAGTTCAATAGGTAAATGATAGTTAAGAATAGTATTCTCTCCACAATCAATTAAAGAAAAACTTAAGGGCCCTAATAATAGCGCATAAACATGCTATCCAACAAAGTATCCATACTACAGAAAGTAAAGCATGGAGACTTTTAAAAAGAAGATATTTATGCATGTTAAAATTTTAGGGGAGCAAGTAATGTGGGGGGGGGGGTGGAGCACTAGAATTGATTGTGATGATGTATATGCAACTCGTTTTTAAAGTGATTGAACCATGGAATTGTATGTGTACATACTATATCAAGAAAATTACTTTAAAAAACCAAACTTGACCAACAGTTACCAATGGGTGAAGGAGAGTTGGTTAGGGGCCATTGGATTTACGTTAATGGGGGTGGAATAATTTGGAAAAGATCTCGATAAGGATTGTACAACATGAGTATAATCAATGGCACTGGACTATACATGTTGAAGTAGTGGAATAGGAGAATGCATATTTTTGCCACAATTAGAATAATTACATGAATAACTAAGGAAGAAAATTTTAAAAAGGAAGAAAATGTTCGAGAATTGAATGTGGTAATTGTACAACTCTTTATGAATGAGTTATTGCATTGTATTACATGTAGATGAAGTGCTAATAAAACTTAGAGAACCCTAAAGTTGAGAGAAAAATTAGTAATGATACATCAGTTAAGTCAACAGATAATGACATCTTAAGAAAAATACAAATGACCCAATTTTTTAAATGGACAAAAAACAGACAATACGTCAAAGAGGAAATCTAGGCAGCCAGTCATGAATAAATGCTCACATTCATTAGTAATAAGAGAGATACCACACCAACGTTTATAATAAGTTTTAGAAGGCAGAAAAAAGCCAAAGGATGTGGAGAAAGAATGCTTATACATGGGCTGCAGTTGTGCAACTCTGGGAATCTGTACGGCACTTACTTAAATGCAAACACATTGGGCACTAACAGAAATATACACACTTAAGTTAACTGCAGCAATTTCCGTAACAGCAAAACTGGAAACAAGGCGAAACGCCAATTTACAGAGGGAAGCATAAATTGGCACATTTATACAATGGAATATTCTGTATCAAAAAAACGATAACACCACAAGACCCACTAAGCTTAGCAAATTTGGTCAATTTTAAGAACATAAACAGTGACATCATAACACAAAAGGAAAGTGGTTTTCATACAGAATAGACTGAAGACTACAGGTAGACAAGGGATGGAAAGTTACAAAGGGACATAGAAAGGATGGCATGGAATAAAAAGAATCACATTTATGTCGGGTTTGACAGGAGTTTTATTTTACCTGTTAACATAGGTTGTTACATCAAATGTTTCTTTTAAAACCAAACTGGGTGTATTTTTTTAAATCGTTTTATTAGTGGCTCATATAAGTCATCACAATCCATACATCAATTGTGTAAAGCACATTTGTACATTCATTGCCCTCATCATTCTCAAAATATTTGCTCTCCACTTAAGCCTCTGGCATCAGGTCCTCATTATTTCCCCTCTCTTCCCCCCTCCCTCATGAACCCTTAATAATTTATAAATTATTTTCTCATATCTTGCCCTGTCCGACTTCTCCCTTCACCCACATCTGTTGTCCGTCCTCCAGGGAGGAGGTCACATGTAGATCCTTGTAATCAGTTCCCCCTTTCCAACCCACCCTCCCTCTACCCTCCCAGTATTGCCACTCACACCACTTTTCCTGAAGGGATCATTCACCCTGGATTCCCTGTGTTTCGGTTCCTATCTGTACCAGTGTACGTCCTCTGGTCTAGCCAGGTTTGCAAGGTAGAATTGGGATCATGATAGGGGGCGGGAGCATTTAGGAACTAGGGGAAAGTTGTATTTTTCATCGCTGCCTCACACCCTGACTGGCTCTTCTCCCCATACTCTTTTGTAAGGGGATGTCCAGTGGCCTACAAATGGGCTTTGGGTCTCCACTCCACAATCTCCCCCCCTTATTCACTATGATAAGATTTTTTGTTCTGATGATGCCTGAAACCTGATCCCTTCGACACCTCGTGATCACACTGGCTGGTGTGCTTCTTCCACGTGGGCTTTGTTGC